GCAGCCAGCAAGAGGACCAGCACTCTGAAAAACTTCTGCAAGAAGTTTATCGGTGACATTTACATGAATATTTCCTACATAACTGAAAGAACATAGCTTCAGATCAATAAGGTGTCAAAGTGGAAAAGTATACTACTTCTAGTACAGTGATTATTTAATACCACATAGAACTGCAGAAGCATCAAATTTATCTCTCAGAAATTCAGATCAGTTAAAAACACCGTTATGCAAAAAAAAATTCGCATCTAAAGTTGTTAGAAATTAGGTTAAAATGAAACACTTTCGTACTTGGGCACAAACACAAAACTAAGGACAAAATACATATAAAAGCCAAAAGAAATCAAACACTCACACGCTACGGCAAGCAGAAGTATCAAAACCAGGGGGCAAATTTCCACTTGGAACAGGCTCCATCTGCAAAATTTTCAAACAACAAAGAGTAAACAAAATGGAGAAAAGGAAAAGTCCAGCCAACTATAAAAAAAGAACCTTAGACTCAGCTAATTCTCATATGTTTCTAACGAACCAAATTAACTGACTAAACCATTTTAGCTCCTATCATAATCGTCAAAAACAATTCTTGAACGGTTCATCTATTACATGAGACAACTATCCTATGCGTTATGGGTCGACGGGTTAAAAAATTCTCGACATATTTTAGTACACTTTGACCAATTACAGAAATTTTGGCAATCATTAGGTTCCATCTATTGGCATATTGAAGACCTAAAAGTTTGGGACCAAAACCATTGCAAATCACACATACATATAAATTTAATATACTAGCCAGAAACAGAAGCAACAATCATATCAAATTCACAAGACCTTAAATGACAACAACAAACCACAGCAGCAGCAATCTCCCCGTTGAAAAGGAAAACTAGATAGATATGCGGCAAATGAATTTAATAGAAAACGTAATTATCTGTAAAGAGAGTAAGGAAAGAGTAACCCTATGGATATGAATTGTATCGTACAAGGCTGCGAAATGCCTCAAATAAATTCAGAGATAGAAAATCGCAACGACACGGATACCATTACCCTAATTACGAGAATTACATGTGATTCAGAAGGCCAGGTTCGTTGTTTTACGGAAATGTAACAATGCAATTGGGCAGCGTGGAAGGCGTTAGTCGGAAAAAAGGGGGAAAATGAAAATCTGAGGAATACCTGAGACATAGCAGCGGCGAGCATGCCAGGGTGGTACATCTGCTGTTGCTGAAGCAAGGCTTGCTGCATGAGGGCTTGTTGTTGCTGCAACTTGAGCCTCTGTTGCATATTCCTCTCCTAATCCGGCGATTCAGAGAGAGATTCCTGCGAGAGGAGAAAAAGGGGAAATTATGGGGAGAATTGAAAGAAATCGAAGATGATAATCGGGGAGGAAATCGGCGATTGAATTGAAATCAGGAGGAGATTGAAAGGGAAATGGATTTTATTCTGACCGTGATTCGGAGACAAGAGAAGGCGGTGGAATGGTGATGGGTATTGGTCCCAATTGGTGTTTGGTTTGGTTTTGGAATTTTGCACTCTCTCTCAATAATCCTCCAACCTCATTCTGCCAATCTCCAATTCATGTCCATTCACTTCCACTGTATTTTAACCCGCTCCCTCTCGCCCAATCGGGTCGACCCGTTTACTTTTACCTTTTCTATCCCATGGATACGTATTTCGTGTCTTTTTTCAGTTTTTCTTTTCGAGACAAACATTCCTATTATGTATCAACATTCAAATTCTTTCCTTCAAATCCATCTGTGGCCAAAAAATAATTAATCAAGGGAGAAAGAGCCTATAATGTATCTTCTACCGACTACAATTATCCATTTTTTTTCCCTAAAAGTACTATTATGACAAAAACAAATTTTAAATCTAAAATTTTGTGTATACTGTTTTAATCTTTTATCTATAGTATAGTATACATATATATTTTGATAATTATCCCTTTAATCTTTACTTTTTAATAAATAATTATATCTTTAAATATAAAAAAAATTATATTTTTTCTAAATAATTATCCATAATATTATATATACATATTTATATATCTAAATAACTATTCATAATTTATAATATTTATCTGTGTATAAATATATATTAATAAAATATATATATTTATTTATAAAATCAATTTAAATAAATAATTTTATTAAAAGAATATAAAATATAGTAATAGCTTAGTCTAAGTTTTATTTGGATATTAATTTTTTATTAGTATTAGAGAAATTACATTTTTAAGAATATTCAAATCAAAATATAATTACATTCTAAGAATTTTTAAACTTAAATTTTAAATATTTTTTATTAAAAAAGTGAGCTAACTCGTACTAACTTGTTAATGACCTATCCTTAGAATTGTCAATTTGGATTTAGTTTGATGAATTGATTCAATTAATCAACAAATAAGGTCAAGTTAAATTTTAAAAAGGATAACTTAAATAAAATCAAATATTTTAGCCTAACCTATTAAGTTTGATATGTCAAATGGCCTTATGTTGGGCTAGCCTGCAAGCTTATGCGTTGATCCGTTAAACGAGTAAGAGTGGAATAATTTAAACTATCGTCAATTTGTAAATTATTATAAAATAATATAATATAATGAAATTAAATAATAGTTGTAGTATTTTACTCATAATGAATCACTCTGTTGTGTTTGCTTACAAAATTGTGGTTACAAGTTGGAAGTTATTTTAGTTGCAATAATAGTTTTTTCATTCTTAACTTTGTTTCATTTTTCGAAGAAGACGTGGTCACACTCATACTTATGCTTACAAAGTCACGCTAAAAGTAAAAGTAGGAGTATTAATGATGAAGATTGAGATACTTAAAAGGCTAAGAAAACTAAGTCTAATACCTCTGAAATATGAAATTATTATGAAAATGTTGGTCTAGTTAATAGGGTAGATAAATCCAAATGTAATAGTTGTGAGAAATCATATACATGTAAAGTTATTAGGTGTTTCATGAGTATTAATTAATCATGTTATAATTTTTTTGCATTGTAAAAAAATTCGTATATTTTTTTAATTAGGTCAATTTGGTATAACGACTTTATATGAGCTAGGTTGGATAAAAAAAACATAAAAAAATAATAATAAGTTGAATCAGCCTAACCTAAAATAACATTTGATTTGTGTAAATTAATCTAGATCAGACTAGCTCAACTTATTTGACATCTCTACCTCTTAGGTTAGCAGGTTATGCAAGATAAATCACCTGACAAACATTCATAATTTGAATTTTGTCTTAAAACATTGAGAAAATAAAAAAATGTAGCAAGTCTCAAACAAACATTGATATTCTTGAAAATCTCATAAAATCAGTCCCAAATAATGTTAAAATGTGAACTACTTTAGCTAACTATATAATGAAAAAACGACATGAAATGCAATACATACAAAAACTAATCATAAGGACAAAACTCATATTACAAATGTATTGTTTTGACAAACACATGCTAGACAATTGACATAATAACTAGACAAATACATTTAAGCACTTTGACAATTATAAAATATTTGAAACTTACTATAATGTGACATCAACACTCGACTAAGGAGTTATGTGACAATTAACTCATCTAATGAGTTTTCCTATGTGGACAACACTTTGAACCTAAGTTTTCATGATTTTATTTTAGATCATCACTCAAAAGACCTCTTATCAATGACATTTGTGTGTTTATAAACTCATTTATTCATTTGTTTCAAAGATATGAGATTTTGATTGTATCTCAACAATCATCCACTTAACTACTTCTAACTTTCACTACTATTAGGAAGACTCTCCTCCATTTATGGATCCATCGATATATTCATTTAAGTCGATTACTTTATTGAGCCATTGACTCTGATATCACTGATGTGCATTGGGGTTCCCATATGCACATGTTTATACATTAATGATATTGTCTACTATAGGCTTAATCTATCATGATTTTGTTTTTGGTCATTATCCAAAATATTTCTTACCAATATAGATAATTGTGTGTTTATAAACTCGTGTTCATTAACTTATTTTAATGATGCAAGACTTTGATTGTATTCTTACAATCTCCTCCACATAAAGGACCATGGTTAACCATCCTTACAGTGAAAGTCATCTATTTAGTCCATGGGTATCCAATGGTAACTCATAGAACTTAGTCATGCTTCAAGTATTTGCACCATCGTTCCACCACTATCTTATAATAGTGGGACACATCTTAACCCTCAATGTTAGTAGAAAGACTCTTCATGGAAGACCTCTACTACAAGGGATTCAATGTCGAGATCCACCGTAATTTTCATCATATTTTTTTGAATTGATCACCTAGTCAAATCATTGACTCTGATACCACTTATTGTGCACTGAGAGTTCTCTCACACACATAACTCCACATTTATATGATATTATTCACTTAGGATATAAACTTTGATAATTTTACTTATGGTCATCACCTAAAAGAGTTCATTAATGGAGACATTTGTGTGTTTACAAACTCATATTTATCTCTTGTTTCAACAATGTAGAAGTTTAACCATATCTCAACAATCACGTTTAAGAGATAATGACCTATTGAAACTGTTTAAACACTTTATACACGACTTTATGCTCTATTGCATGACATACTTAAAAAAATTCTTAAGTTCAAACTTGTGTTGATTCTTGGTAAACCCACAAACATAAAAGTGTTTCTCACATTCAACATCAACATGTGATTATTGATTGTTTATTGATTGTTGAATGATAACAACTCACTTGAATTGGTAACCACCATTAAATCTTAAACAAGTTAAACTAATCACTTTTGCTATAAATGTCATAACTTTCTCATTTTGAGTTTAATACTTTTAATACTTATTTAATAATAACATGTGCATGAAGAATATTTATTAAGATATCTCTTAAGATAGATATTATTTGATTGAAAAATTAATCTAATGGATTCCTTAAAAAAAAAAAGAGTTAATACTTTCAACCAATATAAAATAGTAGTAATGTTTAGAGAAGGTTGGTGCTAAGAAGCGCAAGCAAGAACGAGTGTGACGCACGAGAGTCTCCATCTTGCTCGGATTTTAGGGAACCACCAAAGCTACCCAATTCAAATCCCAACCTCAATGCCGATACCATGCCAGCTGTTTCACCTTTTTTTTTTTTTTTTGTCCCTTTCTTCGATTATTTTTCTATTTTTCCTCCAACCCTCCCACTATTCCCTTTTTCTCCATTTCATCACTCCTTTCACTCTCGTCTTCCCTAGCAGTCATGTAAACACGCCTCTGCCGAGTAAATCCTCAATTTCACCCATTTTTCATTAATTTACTCGCTTCGTTTTAGATTTAATTATTATTTTTCGCAAGCGCAGAGCTAGACTTGATTTTTAACGTTTGACTTTGGATTTAGGTTTTACTGGATTGGATCTCGTTTTCGCCATTAATTAGAGTCATGGATATCCGTGCCGATGCAGAAACCAGCTCCTTTTCAAGGTTTTCCATATCTTTACTTGCTTTTCACTGAATCTGAAATTTCATTTTCAAATGAATGAATATTTATTTTAATTGTTTAACAATCAATCGCTAAGTATTGCTCTTATTAGAGATTATGAATATTCAAGGGTAGCTAGTAGCTATGGTGACCGTGATTTTGTTTTCGCGTAGTTTGTTCGCTGCTGTGTCGTATGGATTTGCCTCAATGGCCATGGTTTTTATCAACAAGGCTGTTCTTATGCAGTATGCATACTCAATGACTCTCCTCACTTTGCAGGTATTATTATCATTGCTGATAAAAAGAAAACATAGAATCTTGCCCTTTGGTTATTCTGATTATTATTTTTATTAGAAATTTTGTTTACCTATGTTGATAACAGCATCTGTCGTTTTTAAATTTTAGCAATTGGCTACCACCTTGCTTATACACTTCGGTAGAAAAATGGGATACACGAAAGCGAGAGGACCTGATATGACAATGGCCAAGCGACTGCTCCCGCTTTCAATTTTCTATAATGCTAATGTTGCTTTTGCTTTGGCAAGTTTGAAAGGAGTTAATATTCCTATGTATATTGCAATCAAGAGGCTTACGCCACTTGCTGTACTCATTGCTGGGTGTTTCTCTGGAAAGGGAAGACCTACAACTCAGGTACTGGTTGTTATTCGAGTTTTTATTAATTTTGTCACCTTATTAAGATGGCTTATGTATGAGAGTCAGAGACTACGAAAGAGGGTTCTTTGAAAAGAATTTGTGGCACTTAAAGAGGGAGAAGAACCATTGGTACTATTAAATGATGTTAACAATAGGGTATTACAGTAAAAAAAAACTTTCATATTCTTGTGGAAAGATTGATCGTAGGTGGACTCTAAATTTACAATAAAGAACAGCATCAAAAAGTTGTGTTCTCTTCTTTGTACCTCATAAAATGTGTGGGTCTAATTCTAAGGCTGTTGCCTTTTGCTTAGGATTTATTTGATCAGCCTTGGGTGCCAATTATAATGATTAGTAACATTTTATTATTTTAATCTCTTGAGCTGAGAAATCTTAATATATATAATATTCTGTCAAATTTTAGGTGGCTCTTTCGGTGATATTGACAGCTGCTGGAGTTCTTATAGCTGCCCTTGGGGATTTTTCCTTTGACCTTTTTGGGTATAGCATGGCCTTCGTTTCTGTTTTTTTCCAGGTGATATGTTGATATATCATAGTTCTTAATCTTATAATGAAGTAATGGACATTGTAATTGTGCATGATTTGCTCATGGTGCTGCTTACGAATGTATCCAGACCATGTACCTTGTGCTGGTGGAAAAATCTGGTGCCGAGGACGGACTTTCATCCGTGGAAATCATGTTCTATAACAGTTTTTTATCTCTTCCATTTTTGATGTTTCTCATCATAGCCACTGGGGAATTCCCAAATTCTTTATCCCTATTATTTGCAAAGGTCAGAATCTTAACCTGGCTCTTTGTATTGGAATTGATTCATGCTTACGCTACCATGACTTGAATTTTCAGACATTTTTAATTGTTTTCTTTTAATGCACAATCAGATAAATTCAATTTTTTTTACAAGGAACTGCTAAAAGCTTCAGTGATTGTACTATAGTTAATCTCAAACAACAAAATATGTTAGATTATTAGTTAAGTACTCATTCATTTCCATATGGTTTTTTTTTCTGTGTTGGACAATTCAAGAAGAATTATATCAGCACTAGTATTTCCTTCGTCTAACTGATTGTCCGCCTAGTAGTTTTGTGCAAATTTTCTACGTATTGGTCCATTGTAGAATATTAACCAGCATCTAGTATATTCATTTCTCGCAAAACAGTCATGATCTGGGGGATTTAAAGATAATTTTGAGTTTGTTAGGATTGGGCTGTAACATAAAATCAAGGAATAAAAAAGGGGGGAAGGGGAGGCTGAGATCACTTGATGTGTGATGGAAAACAGGACAATGCAGCAGCAACTTTTGATTTTGGCATGATAATATGGGTCTGTTTGGCATTCATAAAACACTTGTCCTTTTATAATATGCCAGGTGCTTAAAAATTATAAATTAAATGAATAGACTGGTTGATTCAGTTTCTTTAATTCTCCTAAATTGAAATGCTGGCAAAGTGTATTTTTAGTAATCATTTTTTGAGAATAAATCAAGCATCATAGAATCTTAGTTTTGATGGTTAACAACTGGAGGCATAGCTTGCAACATATTTTGGAAAAATTAAAAGTTTGCATGTATTTGATGATGTGGCATAGCTGGGACATACTTTATTTAGTGATAAATTGATACCAAAGTTAATATTTTGTTTTCCTTTGCAGAGTTATTCTTTTTCATTTTTGGTGATCCTTATTCTTTCGTTGGTGATGGGCATCGTTCTTAACTTCACCATGTTCTTGTGTACAATTGTTAATTCAGCCTTAACTACAACTATTGTTGGCGTTCTCAAAGGGGTTGTTTCCACGGTAAGCTAGGAGTGATCCTGTGTTTGCCATAGAAAATTTCTGTCACAGTACAAAAAGCTTGAATTTGGAAATTGGAATGATTGTCCCGGCCCTGAATATTGATACATATGCATTATCCATCTTTTCTTTGTAGTTTAGTTGACTTGCATGCGCTCTATGTTCATTTATATCTGTAGTTTTAATTGCAAGCATTAAATCTGTTGCTCGTTGCTTCTTCAGACTCTTGGTTTCTTCTTATTGGGTGGTGTTCAAGTCCATGCTTTGAATGTGAGTGGCTTGGTTATCAATACAGCTGGTGGTGTGTGGTATTCATTTGCTAAATATCAGCAGAAAAAAAGTAAGGCGGTGAAGCTGGTGACAGATGTGGAGGCTCATCGTAAATAGAAGTAGCATCGATAAGTTGCGGTGAAAACTAACAGTTACATAAGTGTTTCTTTACTTTGATTACTATGATTGTATACGCTGGTAGTTTAGTTTTTTCTCTCTTATAATTTTACAGTAGTTACAGGTTCACATAGTCTGAGCCTAAGATGTAGTAATAGACATGAATTGAGTAAAATAATTGTACTTTTATGATTCTAATGCTTACAGAATATTGTAGGGGTCTATTTTATTATGAGAATTGCTACCATTACATTTTCTTTCTCATTCTTTCCAACATATTTATCTTATTATTGGTTAAAATTTATTGGAGAGAGACTTATTAAATAATAAGGATCTGAAATTTTTTTTATTTTTAATAAATTTTTACTAATGCTGTAAAAGGGATTAAAAAAAGTGTGTTAGAAAGTATATTTTATCTTTTTTTAATTTTATTTTATGCACTGTTCTCTGAACACAAATCGAGGACAAACTGCGTTACAAACAGTGAGGCGTAGTTCTGGCCTTATATTTTTGGTATAATGTATAAATGCTTATCTACAAAACACTTCAAACAGGAAGTTTTAATTTGCCGTTGTTCGTGTTTTCCAAATTAAAATGTTCAGAAATTAGAAAATTATAGAAATATATAAGGAAAAGTTTCTATAATTTGATTATTATTTTTAATATTATTTAAATATTCATATGTTGCATTCAATTGTAATAAAGATGAAAAAAAATCTGACATAAAAGATTCGAATAATGTAAATTTTTTAAAGAAATCTTTATAAATTTATAATACAATATTGATTCAGAATGTGTTCTAAGTTCACAATTATGTGTGACAAATTTTTTTGAAGATCTCTCTACGTTTTCAATTTTTCTTTCTTGGATTGACTTTAATTCTAACCTTGTAAAGTTGTAATTGATGTATTATATCAGATATTGAAGATATTATTTACATTACATTTTTTTATTAGAAACTTGATATTCCTTTTAATTATGAAATGTATTTAAATTAAATAAATTTGATTATACAAATTACGCATATAAAAGATTAAAGCTTACAATATTAAGTATTAAGAACCCAGAATATTTGTAAAGTATTGAATCTTCTAGTTTTATAAAATAAATATAACCAAATAAAAATATTTTAAAATATTATATTATACAATCAATTGATAATATACCAAAAAAAAATACAATCAATTGATAATTTGTTGTATCATGAATTAGATAATTTTATTAAAAGTAAGGTTTTCATATTCATCATAATATTCTCTTCTTGGAGTATTTATAATAGTAGCAACTCATTTTGTTGCTTCTAATGGAATCCACCAAAAATCTTAAACCATTATGTTTTATTAATAAATTATTTAATAATTTATAATTATTTTATTTATAAATTATCTAAAATTAAAAATTATGAAATTTTATAGATTACTATTGTAAAAAATTCATGTAATAAAAAATTAAAATATATAAACATAATAAATTATATTGTATTTAAAATGATAAAATTTGCTGACCTTTCATAAATAATGTAATATAAATAAGCTATTATTATCCATCGAAGACACTTGATCAAAAGGGTTAATTGATAGTGTTTGAAACATAAAATTGATATGGACGAAATGATGGTATATGATATTTAAAATTTGGATTGCTGGAGTTGTTTTGAAGGTTGGATATATAAATTTGCAGAATTTTGAAATTTTGAATTTGTGAATTTGTGGATTGTTGATAATTTAACATCAAATTAAACCATACATTCATATCAAATGAATTCTGGTTTGGATCGATCGAATAAAAACAAATAAAAAAAGTTCATAATTTAGTGAAGTGAGAATGAGAAAAAATGAGAGGTTTTAGTTGTCCGGAAAAATTGAAGTAGTCTCTTATTTATAAAAAGAAACTAAGGGGTAATAAATCTTTCAATGGTACTAAAATTTTGTCACAATGGTAACAATAATAAACAGTAACAGTATTTAACAGTAACAGTACATTAATATATGAATTCAAATAATATATATTATTTTTAGTTTTTAAAGGCTTAGAAACCGGTATTTTTTTTAAAACAACCGTTGTTCCACGCCAGTTAAATGTATCGTTGATGTTTCAAAAAGTAGTTTTGCTTCTTTGATAGAATTGCTTATGTAATAAGCATTAAATGTATCGTTGGTATTGAAATTTAGCGCATTAAAATTTATTAAAAATTTAAATTTTAATAATAATAAAGAAAATGTTAGTAAAAAAATACCTTAGAGAGTGTCCAACATTTTTTGTTTATCAATTACACATATCTTGAATGCAAAAAATATAAATATAATTATGAAAAAAAAACTTTATCCATATTACTTTTCTAACTAGATATTACATTGGTTACAATTTTTTTATAAAAAAAAACCTAAAGTTGATACAACAATAACTGTTTATTTTGCCAACTAAGTACTACATTCATTGGTTACAACTTAATAATAATAATAATAAAAGTGTGTTTGGATGGGGTAATTGAAGGGAGTAAATCATTTATTATTTTTTAAAAATACTCTAGTGTTAAATGATTTGTTTGATATATGATTTAAAAGGTTTTAAATTGCATCATTTTAATGGAGTATTTTAATTAGATTTTTAATTTAATTTAATTTAATTTTTTAATTTAAAAGGTTGTCTTAACATTAAAAAAAGTTGATGGGTGTATGATTTAAAAAATGGGTGTAGAAAGCAAGTGGCTTATTTTTATGGGCTATATCTAGCAGGAGGAGCACCAATGAAAAAGCCCATTAGCGTAGTTTTTCTTTGAGTATTTTTTTCATGGTGCTACCAATTCGCCTGGGGCAAAGGAAGATGGCATCAGCTCTATAATTGAAATGGATAGCGACTTGGAAGAAACTCAGCGGAAGAGACCTAGAAAATATCCATTCTCCGCGGATTCATCCTCTCGCAAGGTCTCTCTCTCTCTCTCTGATGCATTGTGTGTTAACTTACAAGTGTTGCTTGTGCATACATGCAAATTGTAACTATCACTGTGACAACAAAACCTAGCGCACTGTTTATTCATCTAAATTTCACTACTGTCGCTATTCTGGAACGATATTTTTGTTTAATTTATCTTAATTCTTCTAAGCTATCTTTGTTGGCGATATAATTCCCTAAAACGTTGTTGTGAGGCTATTGATTTACGATGGTTTTCTGATTCCGTGTCGATTGCTTGGAATTTAATGTTGCGAACTTACGTTTTGATAAGGTCTGGGGAATGATCATCTAAGACGCTTTCGAGCCTGGGTTAAGTGCAATTACTACTTAGTTACTTGTAAATTGTGACTGTGACGTTGTTTTGCCGTTTGGTGCTGATGACTTGTTTGGTTCTTCTTTCGCTCATGATTATTTTCTTATTCGCGGTTGTGTTTTTTTTTTTTTTTTCCCTCTATGAACTGATGATTGTTGAATTATGCAGCAGTTTGAACAATATCCTGGACGGCCATTTACAGTTATGGGGGAAGTGGTAATGGTTCTCACTCTCATTAAATTCTGATTTGGATGAACATGTGAATAAGTATTTCATTATTATTATTATTATTTTTAATTTCTTACAACTGTCATCCTTGTTTATACTGTGGAAGTGTTGAACATGGAAAACAAGAACATAGATGCGCTGCAACGATTATTGCTGTTTTATTCTTATTTTTTAGAGTCAAAATGCCATATGGATATAGTATGTTCAAGTGTTTCATCACTCTGCAGTGATTCTGTTCTCTAGCGGGATGGGTTTTCTAGTAACTAGTTTTGCGGATAGCTTTTTCTAAGATCTGCTTTACGAGTTACAACTAATTGAAGTAGTCAATAGCGCTCTATTGTGGTGCTAAAGTGGAGTGGTCAAGCAGGGCAGCCTTTGGCTGCTACTGGATTTAATCATTGGAAAAGTCGCTAGAATTTACAAAGTTATCGAAAATTTTGCGGGTTGCTGGAAAGGTGGCAATTAATACAGTAAAACTTTACAACACTTAGTGCCTAGTCAAGTTAACAGGGTACTGATAGCTAAAGAGCCCATCAGACCTTCAACGTGTTCTTGTTGCAGAAGCAGAGGCCCCTTAGATTGTTAGTATCCTGTACACTCTATTTATGAGGAAAGAAATGGGTGACAAAGTGAAGAGAAATTGGTAAATAGAAATAGGTAAGAAATAGAGTGAAATTTGGATTATTTGGTTTAAGAGAAATAAAAGAGAATTAGAGGAGAAATAATATTAAAAGTTGTTTGGTTTGGATGAAAGGAGAGAAAAGAAATTAAAATAAAAGTAAATTTACTATTGCAACCCCGCTTAAGTTGCACTCAACTTATGAGGAAAAAACGTTATAATTGATTAAATTTAAGCCATTTTCAATTCAAATGTGTCATGCTCTTTGTCAGTTCAGCCCATAGTCAATTATGTAGTTTTCATAATCGATTATGGAGAACATAGGCAAGCCAAATTTGCCATTGAATGCATGAAAACAGAGCAAATCTGCCATTGATGCACAAAAACAAAGCCAAATCTACCATTGAATGCAGGCGGCATGGCAGAGACACTTGAAGACCATGAAGTGTTTGTTGGAATGCTCCAACGTGAAGAGCATGAGGGACAGGGTGGGGAGATTGGTGTTTCTTGTCTATTTCCCCTCATTCTAGCAAAGAAATACAAATAAGTGGGAACCACCACTTTTTTATTTCCATTCTCACCATTTCATTCATACAAACAATTAACATTATTTCTCTTATACCCATTTCCACTTTTTTCTACCTATTTCCTACCCATTTCCACTCTACCATTCAGAGGAGTAAAGTCATCTGAACTCTGATGGCTGCCTGAAAAGTCATTGGAAATTCTGTTGGTTGTCAAAAAATCTGACAGTTGCCAGAAAGGCAGTAATACAGTAAAACTTGACAGAACTTGGTGCCCACTTCCCAGTCAAGTTTACAAGGTACTAGCAACTTAAGAGCCTAGTCGAACTGTCTTCATAATGTTTTTGTTGTGGAAGCAGAGCTCCCTTAGATTGGGAATTTTGATACCATGTGAGAAGATAGAGACAAAGATTTTATTTTTTGAACTTGCTCACGTGAGTATACCACTTAGCAAAATGATCTATTTATAATAGTAATGATTACAAAATAATAAATTCTACTATAGAGAACAATTAAAATATCACTACTTCATAAGCTACTTTGAACTTTGTTAAACAAATAACTAAGCTGCTTGGAAGAGTAATAATCATTAAATGCTCCTATTTTCGACAAAGGGAAACAACTTAATGCTATCAGATGGAGACTTGTTCATTCTATATTTATTATTTTAAAAGGAAAAACGAAATCTGTCGTTTGTTGTGTCATAATTATTGTTCTCAAGGTCATCAGCAAAAGAGAAATAAAGAAGTGTCTATTGCTTGCATTTGACTTGGTTGACTCGATGTGAGGTGAGGGGTACCCTTGGTTTTTGTTTGGGAATTAAATTTTGGAGGGAAAAGGAAGAGAGGCCAGTTTTTTATAATAAATATTCTCCAATTTGATAGTTTTTAAAATGAAAGAAATAAAATGATTGATTAACATAAACTTAATGTCCTAATCTTTTGTTTATTTTTGGTCATTATATAACTTTCTAAATTTAAGAATAAATATCAGTGTTTATGAAAGTGTTTTACTGATCATTATTTCACTCAACTTCATGTGCAAAAAGTTGTATATGTGAATTCCATATAATGTCTTTGAAGATAAATTTTGAATGTTAGTGTGCATTTTAACATGTTCAATATTTTTAGTTAAAAGATTTGAGTATATATGCGAATTATATATTTCTCTCTTTATATGTATTATTGGTAATTTTTCTTTTCTGAAACTAAAGCTGGGTTCTCTTTTTGTCAGAATTTTTTGCAAGATGATGATAATCAATTGGAGATTACACGAGCTAGATGTATGTCTATAATCTCATTGGTTTTATTTGCATTTTATAGATAACATGTCAGTTATTCTATTATTTCCTTGACAGTTGGAAGTGTGATTAAAAGACATGGAGATTTGACAGAGCGTCTTGCTAGGTAAAATACTCTGAAGATTTTCGTTATTCTTTTCATCTTTGGTTTTCAGCAAAACCATGGCCCAACCAAATGATTAATGCATGAATTTTAAGTAATTTTTCTGTTTTTGAGTTTATATTGTTAATTATTTAATAGAAACATAAATATAATGTTAGAAACCACTATCTGCTATCCTGCTATCCCACTTTTAGGATTGGCTGCTTTGCTCCCCTATCTGGGATTGACAACTATGGTAGAAAAATCTCTTCAATTTCTCACTTTTATTTTCTTTATAAGTGTTTTATGTGTAATTTTTAACATGTTTTGAAACTGCTTCATAACAATCAAGGTTTATTTGGTCACTTGAAGATGTGTAGTTCTCTTCCCTTTTCCTTAGTGAAAATCTCAATGCATTTAATGACTGCCTACTTTTATTATGATTATTGTTTATGTCCATTACATCTGTACGCTGTAGTGACTTTTTTTTATTTAAAATATTTACTGGGTTCATAGGGATTCTGACAAGATAATATTTGAGCGTCTACAGAAAGAGTTTGAAGCTGCACGAGCTTCTCAAACTGAAGGTAGCTTTGACTTTGGTCTGTATGGATGAATTCTTTAATAAATTAATAGTGAACCGTACAGCTCTGCCATGTCTCAATTTTCTTTCCCATTTATTTCCTTTTTTTCTACTTTAGTCTAGCTGATATTATTCTTTATCTTTGTCAATTATTCCTTTCTTCCCCTTTTCAATTTATTTATTTTATTTCATTTATTATAAACCTTTCGATTTATATTTTTTTCATATGGATGCATAACTGTCTTGTTAAGTGTTAAGCATACTAATTTTGGTTATGACATATGATGGTAAGATTGATAATAAAGTTATTTTACAGCTGCTGATCATCGCTCATCATATAGAATATATATCAGGGCTATTTATGCATGAAATAAGAAAAGGGAATTGAACAGCAAAGAAACATTAAATAATCTAAAGCATTTTAACAAGATAAGATTATTAAGATGTGAAATCTTGGTTCACTTGATGAGATATACTTTTGTAACTTCTGAAATACTGACCTACTTCATTTGTTCATTCATTTTGGTATAGATGTTCAGAAAATGCTTCTTAATTACCTTTTATTTGTTTTACAGAGATACATTTAGATGGGGAAGAGTGGAATGATGGTCTACTAGCTACAATAAGAGAGCGGGTATTGGTTTTTTGATTGTTACCTTATTTCACTCGGTGTTCTGCTATTTGACCTTGGTGGTCTCTGTAAATATCAATTTGTTTCAGTTTCACTGATGTTGTTGATAATAATGATTGATACATTAAATTTTTCCCGTCAGGTGCATATGGAGGCAGACAGAAAAGCAATGCATGGGGATGCTGATATATTAGCATGTCCTCAGGAAAAAATTACATATAAAATTGGAAACAAGGTAAGTTATATGATGAAGCCTGCCTAAAACACTTCTTGTTGGAAATGACTTATTATTTTTCAGTAAAAACTAAACACATTATACTTGTAATACTTGAGCATAGATTTACAAAATTCTTGACAAAGCCTGAGAAGATAAGATAGGCACATCGGACAAGGTAAAAGATTATAAGTTGGTGGTCATGTATATTTCAGTTGTGTTAGAGTGGAGAACTGGAAAATTTAGGAAGTGTTTTAAGAGGAGTTGGGGTATATTTTATATGGATATTGATTCTTAATATTAGATGCTGTGATACTAAAATTATAAAATGCCTGCTCAAGGGTTTACAGATGTATATTACAGACTAGCAAACAGACTTTTGAAATTTGGGGGTATTGTATTGTATGGATTGATTGGATTGTAGGTTCTGTATTTGACATTGATGTACAAATATTATTGTTTTGAAATTACGAGTAGTGAGTGGGAGCTCCAGTTTCTCTTTTTCTATTTGCTGAAAAAAAGTGTTGTTATGTAGTGCTAGGAATTGTTGGTATTAGTTAGAAACTATTAGTTCTGATTTCTGCAATTGTGGTGATAGTGGATGGGACAGAGCACTTTCACTTTTTTTTGTGTCTCTTTTAACTTGTTATGGGATTGGATTATGGCTCCTCTTTGGTATTATGCTCATGGCTTTTTCAAGGAAGCTGCCCTTCTGATGTGCAGAGTGATTGGCAGCCTTGCTGCATGCTATATGTTTTCACGTTCTTGTCATGACTTGCTTTTTATCTTTCCACTAATTTACTTCCTCATTTTGTGTTTTTAACATTTTTTTAACCAACCCTCCAAAAAATATTAAAAGACTTTGGTATGCCTAGTTGTTCGTAACTTTTCTTAAGATCATTTGGCATTTTGTGTGAAAACTTCATGACCAGAGTCTTTTTAAATTTGATTGTGTATTTGTAAGCAGGTAATTTGCTGTTTGGAAAGGGCAAGAATTGGTGTACAATATGAGCCATCTTTTGCTGGTAATTTGGAAACAAATTTCTGAACTTAAGTTATTCACGAAAACTATCATGTTAATTTAACTCATAAGATGGCATCATAAATTATCTGATAGAGGGTGGGACTTTTTCTATTTGCCTTTTCCATCTGACCAGACGATGATAAATGATAAAGCCTGTTTGTTAATTTCCAGGTGAACCTTGTGAGTTTTACCATTGTGTGCTGGAGAGCAAGTCATTTCTTGAAAAGATGACTGTCCTTGAACACACAGTTCCATTTTTCCTGCCTATACGTGAAATAGAAAATGACCTCCTTTCATCCAATGCAATGGTAAAGTCTTCTATATATATATATTGCCTTTACAAGATGTTCATTTCAACTTTCTTTTCTTTCTAATAAGCATTGTTTTATTGGTTTGCTTTCAGAAATTCATAGATCATGTTGGAGATCTATTGCAGGCTTTTGTGGATCGACGGGAACAGGTAAAATGCCCATGAGAAAGTTTGATGTGTTTATTTTTTTTGGAGTAACATCTTGTCTTCACAATCCACATGTATTTGCTGTTACTTATGGGGCAAAGTTTTACACTTATACAATCATGCAAAACAAGTACTTTCTGACTATTTTATATCCATATTCCAGAAACCTTATATTAGCATTTGGCTTATCTGTTCTCTATAGAGAGTTTATGCGAGTTTACCCAAGTTTATCTAGAAAAAGAATTTGATGGAATGGTACCAAAGAAAAGAAACATACTTAAATATGATTTATTGACTTGGAAAAGCTTATGATTGAGTGTCAATAGAAGTGTTGTGGAGTGCTTTGGGAAAAGAAAAGTTTTGTGCGATTTACATTTAGGCTATACAAGATATGTATGATGGGATAAGTACTTGTTTGAGAATCCCAAAAGGTGAGACTAAGGATTTCTTATAGAACAAGGATTACAGCAAGTTTAATATAGTCATGGATGTGCTGACCAGGGAGATACAAAACACTATCCTTTATTGCATATTTTTTTTGCAGATGATATATGGTTTTGAATTTTGATTGAGGAATTAAGGGAAGCAGTTAACTCTACTGGAACTTTGGAGAGACTTTGAAAACAATTGATGTTCACTTAAGTAGAAGTAAGATAGTATATGCTGTGCAATTTTAGCAAGAGACAAGAAGAGAAAATGTCATACCTTATGTTTAGTAAGACAGTATATGCTGTGCAATTTTAGCTAGAGACAAGAAGAGAAAATGTCATACCTTATGTTTCAAAAGTTTAAATATTTGGGATCAAAACCCCGAAATGATGGGGAATTAAATGAGGAGTCACACATATGATACAAGCGGTATTGCTAAAATGGAGAAAGGTATTGGGGGCTATTTGTGACCACAAAGATCATATCAAACTCAAGCAAGTTTTATTGTACTACTATATGTTCGGCTATACATATGTAGTGAATGTTAGACTTAAGGTGGTAGTGATAGGATTGAGAATGTTAAGATGAATGTATGACCATACAAGAAAATATATGATATGAAGAAAGATTGGTACAACTCCAATTGAAGAAAATATATCAGAAAATTGATTAAGGTGGTTTGGACTCGTTCAAAGGCCCTGGGAGGCACTAGTTGAAGAGAAGGACATTGGAGAAAGTTGTCAAGGGAGATCTCACGGTAAATACCATATATCTAAAAACTTGGTCATTAATTGAGTCAAATAATGACCTTGTAGTTGACTTCACCTAGTGGGATAAGACTTAGTTATTATTGTTTTAATTAATAGGCTTACTTTTATTTTCTGTATTGGTTGTATTATCTATTCGGGTTATTAAGATTAAACCTTCACCATTACTATGTATGTGCAAAACATGAGGTTGGCTTGTGGCTATTTTACCTAGAAAATATAAAGTTCATCAATCTTTTTGTAAATTATTCTGATACAAAAAACATGCATCTGTTTTGTCTCTTGTGAATATCATGCAGGTCCGACTTATAAAGGAACTCTATGGAAATCAAATTAGAGAGTTGTATCATAGCCTACCCTACCATATGATCGAATTTGTATTGGATGATTTTGATTGGTTAGTATCTTATAGTGTTCTTATTTTTAACAACCATTTTTCTTCAAATTTAGTATCTTGGTATCCCTTTAAATTTTTTTCCCTCAACTGCAATCAATGGTGAATTTGGAGGTTATTTCAGTATGCTTGAATAATCAAATAAAATATTTGTCAAGGTGCACTTGTTGGTAAAGCGAGTGATACTGGGGTGGTGCTGTGCTGTGCTTTTTTTTTTTTTTTGTATGTTTTTCTTTTTCTTTTTCTGGACATTCTAATTTGTGATCTGATGCTAAAAGGACAAATTGAATAGGGTGAAGTTAGGTGTGCTGCAGCTTTCAATGCTAAAAGAAAGTACATGATACTGGTTATCTTACACTTTAGTTGATACATTTTGGTTGGCCTCGACACTAAGATTACTGATCTAGAATTGAATTACAAATGCGCTCCGATCAATTATCTTTCTCCATTTATTTTCCTTCTGTCAACTTTTAAGTTATGCCGAAAATTTTGGTCAAGGATCTGGGGTGCTGGGAGAAGTGGCTTACATGAAAGGAAGAGTCGCAGTTTATACAATTTTGATTTGTTTGCACCTTAATTATGAAAGCTCATTTGTTTATTTTTAAATTTTAGCTTTCCTTCAATGAAATTAAATATACATGCAATGAAATGAAAGTTTAAAAGATATTCTGTGCTCAATGAGTCTTTTTTGTTTGCAGCAAGGTGACAGTCAGCCTTCGATATGCAGATCTCATTTCGGTGCTTCCGACTCGAATTTCAGTGCTAGCCTGGCCAATGATCAATAAAAATACTACAGCAACTTTGAACAGGAAGGATGATGGACTCTCAGGAAGTCATTCTTCTCCATTGCGCTTAACCTATGCAGAAGAAGCCTTACGAACCATGAGTTTACCCGAAGGTACAAACTATATTACTTTGCTTAATGGGGTTTTCTATTGTGCACGAGCATATGATAATAAGTTAAAAATGGAATTTTTTATTAGAAAATAAAGTATTTATTATATTGAAAACACAATTCATTCACTTGGCCTTTTTAGGTAATTCAAAATATTTAATAGGTTGTATTTAACGTTTTCATTCTGTGTAGGAAAAATTGTACTAACCTCTCTTGAAGTATTTTTAAATGACATACAATTTTTTTTTGTAAGATAATACCATTTGTATACCGTTAAGTGAAAACAAATTATTAATATAAATGTTAATATTTGAATGAGATTTAATTTCTTATTCAATTTTAATTTCCAAGTTATATTCTAAATATCACGCGTTTTGTGATTTAAAAAATATATTAACTTTGAGGAATAATTTTAATAAATGGACTGAGAAATTATTATTTTCAAATTTGAAAAATAATGAATTTTTTTATAAAGAAAATAAAGCATTGTGTGTAATTCAATAACAAAGAATAAACACGAATATGATTGAAAATATGAGTTGACTTTTATTTTTTGGATTTTATCTATTTTTCTTCTCTCGCTTTAACTAATCATTCCTTCTCTCACTCTAACTAATCATGTTATTGTAAGAGAGGTGAGAGTGGTTTTAAAAAGAAAAAATTGTATGTCATTTAAACAAAGGTAAGTGCAATTTTCCCTCCTGTGTACTCATAGACACACAATAAACATTTAATTTATAAGAACATAATTATTTTTAGTTTTTTTGTCAAGAGCGGATGGTCTATAATCTTGTCCTAATAGGATGTGCAGCTAGGAGAAGCTATCAGACCTATGAATTTGGATTCTGAAATTTAAAACAGCCTGCTTCCGTGTTCCTTTAATTGTGATACGTATTTCTTTATTGCTTTACTGATTGTTCTGAATAATACTGATTATATATTTTATTTGCATTCCAGCATATGCGGAGATTGTATTAAACTTGCCACAAGCGCTACAACAGACGTATCATCAAAAAGCCCCCTCCTAGAGCTTCGCCCTATCAGTAGTCTAGATTCATCTGTAAAAATTCTTGTTAGAAATGTTAAATATTAGGAAAAAAATAACTCGAGAATTATTACCAATTTACCTTGCCAAATTGCTCATAGGCTGTACCATTATTGTCGTATAGCATTTGTGTTTTGCCCCCCGTGGCCTTGTTACCTACTCCGGTGTCTTGTATCATTAGCACGACAGGGCTAGGTTTACATTGTTATCATTCATCTCTTCTTCAATAATTCAATATATATGTAATTTGGTTTCATATAAGTTACATCTTTTTTACATGGCAAGCAAGTGGCAAGTATGAAAGCATTTTCATCTGCTAATCATTAAATTTGGGATTATTAAAATAAATGATTCTTCATTTTGAAGTAAATGCTAGAGTGCAATATTGCTATGCTTGTGAGTAGGGATGAAATATGGATCGATTGAATAATTTTTCAGGTGAATTATAATAGATTGGATAAAATTATATTAATTTATTTAGATTAATTAAAAATTTATATAAAAATTTAATCTATTTAATTTATTTAAAGCAAAAAAAAAAAAAATTCAATTCATTCATTAATAATTTTTTATGAATAAATATCAAATTTATCTATAAAAGTAATGTTTTAAAAGTTAAATAATTTTTTTTGAAATTTATTTCTCTCTTTTTTTTTATAAGTCATTATATTTTTATATAGTGTTTTAAAATTTACAATTTTTTTAATGTCAAAATAGTATTTTAAAATTTCAATACAATAAACATCACATATTATAATTCAATGGATTTTGAAAAGGTAATGAATGAATCATTATCCATAAAATTAAAAGGATGTGTTAGATCTAATTTATTATTTATTTTTATTGTAATAAATGAATTTGATAGGTTTATTTGTGGATGGATCGAATGAAAGATAAGTAAATTGATTCATTTGTCAATCCTACTTGTGAGAGAATTGCACTTGGTGTTGTTTTCTTGAGAAGAGAGGATTATGTGTCCACTTGTTCTTATTGTTTAAAATTGATTTTGACATAATTAAATTTGAATTGTTTATAATATTTAAATATGGGTAAATTCATTTAAATTTAATTTCATTTTAGGACAAATTTATTGGTGTTTATAAGAATTGTACTCATGCAAAGATTACTCTTACACGAGTGCAATTAATTGAAATTTAAAATTTTGACAATTAATTTAAATTTAAAATTTTTTAAATTTCTTGAATTTTTGAATATCTTTGTCAAACTATAGTCTACTAAAGTTTTATCTTTCAAACATTATGCAACTATGATTGTTTATATTAATGTGATACCACATGAACATAAGGAGTCACATTTAATGTGCATTAAAAAGTGCTCTTGCCTTAAAACATGTACACTTTTTTTTTTCATCGACACATTTAACTAGAAAGGTTACCCATCGCATAACTATACTGTAACGAGATTCCAATCATTATGCATAGAGTCAGGGTGCAAGAATTTGATAAAGTTCTTTCTTTGGTAGTGTTTACATAATGTCCTTCTAGATAATGAGGTTCAATTGTAAAGTAATTTAGCTTCAAGTGGAGCTTGCATGAGATGTTCACACAGAATGGAATCTATACTACATGTTGTGTATGACTGTCCTTATTCGAAAGAAATTTGGATGCAGATAAGGAATATTTCATCCTTTTTTATTTTTCCTATTACGAGTTATCTATTGTGGTTCAAGAACTTGGTTAATCATCTAGATGCAATGAGGCTGACAATTGGAACATGGTAGATTTGGCATTTTCGAAACCATATGATCTTTGAGACAGATCAATTATGGATAGTGAACTATGTTGTGAGACATATAACATTAGATATATGACATAATACACTCTAGTTGAGGTTTAAGTCTCTTTGTTGTTAATGTGACAAATGAAGTTCACCAGATTAGACAATTCCTTTTGTGTAAGTTTTATTTAAAAGGTATTAATATCCTCTCTAATTAGGATTATTTACAAGATGTTATGTGTGATTTTTATCAAATTTATTATTTTATAAGTAAGTTTTAGTTTTTACAAATTAACCCCTCATTAATTGCCCACTCTCTCCCGGCCCCCTCCTTTTCTCACAAGGGATCTACACTTGCACCACCACCACCAGCAACACCAATTCCAAGCCACCAAGGACGAGCACAACAGAAGCAACACCATGATCACCACAAGCCCCGAAGCAACCAGTATTCCAACCACGCTTCCTCCCACCACCTGGCCTTGGCCATTGGCCAGGTAAATGGTCAAATCGGAAGCAACCAGCGGCAAAAGCAAGGAGCCCGAGAAGGACAAGGTCCCAAACCTTTTGTGGAGGGTAACGACAAAACCAGGAGAAGTCCATTGCCTGAGATTGATGTTGGTGACAGTTCTAATGCTGCTCAAGATGCAAACCCCTCTCTGGCGCTTCCTTGCGAACATGTCACACGCGTCTGCCACCTCCATCTTGTGCGCTCTCATGGCGTTGACATTGTCGCAGGTGATGATAATGAATGGCTTGGGCTTGTTTTTGGACCCCACTGGTCTTCCTCGAGGCCTTGTTATCTCAGCCTCACTTGCACCTTCGTTGTTTTCTTTGCACTCCCTTTTCTCCGCCCGTTGCTTCTGATGTGATCGTCCCCGGTGGCTTGGAATTGGTGTTACTATTGTTGGTGGTGCAGGTGTAGATCCCTTGCATGAAAAGGAGTGGGGGCGGAGAGCGGGAAATTAATGAGGGGCTAATCTATAAAAATTGAAATTTTCTTATTAAATAATTAGTCTAATAAAAATTACACATCACATCATTTAAATGATCCTAGTTAGAGGGGATATTGGTATCCTTTAAATAGAACTTGGACCAAAGAAATTGTCATCAAATTATGGCTTTATCAAGTTGAATGTTGATAGAAGTTGATTAGAAAAGTTATCGAGTGATGGGATTTGATGGAGTGGTGAGAGATACTATTGATAGATAGAAAGAGAATTTTCAAACTTTTTTGAAGAAAGAAACCTTTTACGTGTATAACTTCTTATTTTGGAGGCGGGGTTACATTTATGTTGAAAAGAGGGGATTAAATTGGATTGCGTACCTGTCATGTCTATCATTCATTAGTACCCACTATATGATTGTTCATGCTATAAATATGTAGATATTATTGTCAATATTATAAAGTTATTGACTCGTGATTAGGGGTGAGAATAATTCAGGCCAAACCAAGTTTTGAATATATTTGCTAGACTTGTTTTACAAAATTAAAGCCCAAGTCTGCCTTTTTTTATAGACCTGACCCAACCTTTCTGAAAGTCTGACTTGACTTATTAGTATATTTAAAAATTTATTTAAATTATTAATATTAATTAGGCTAATTAACTTAATTTTTAAAAATTAACAAAATTATTTTTAAAATATAGTTTACTTAATATTATTAAAATTTAATTTTTAAAAAATATATAAGAGAAAAGTTGAATCATTTTTATTAAAGAAACAATTCATGTGTAATTATGTATGTTAATGTATACTCATGTACAAGTCGAAAGCTTATAAACCTATAATAAAAAAAATAATCATATAAAAAAATATTTTAAATATTGATAATTTATTTCTATTTTATAAGTTCATTTGTTTATTTATATTTTTAATATATATATATATATATTTT